TAAGGGCAGTGGCGCAGTGACCCACGCAGCTGACAGCAAACAGCTGCGGCGCGCTCACTGTAAATGAGTGTCCACGTGTAGCGCGGAGGCGATGATAGCGGCGGGCAGGGATTGGTGGCGAGTGCGGCGAATATGGACCTACGTGGGCAGTGTATTAGCGGCCAGTTACAAGCTAGAAGCCACACCCCTTACGAGAAGATGAGCGCACACCTCTTGAGGATTTCCCAGAGCTAATTTCAGGAATTTCCATCACGGGTGGCAGTGCCTTATGAGCGAAAGTGAAAATGGGGTTTTCATATGCTGCTTAAATCCTTTGTCTCCCTTTGATTCAAATCAGTAGCTGACAGTCTCTCTTTTCCAACACAAACCCTAATGGGAAGTGTGAGGGCCATTCTGGGGTACACCCTGGATGGGACGTCAGCCTACCCACAAACACGCATGCATGTAGTTATAACCCTATGGACAGTTTTAGAGACTCAGATAGACTAACTGCTTAGTCTTTGGACTATGGGAGGAAACCAGTGTGATACAGGAAGAACATAGAAATATTACACGCAGAGCGTGTAGGTGAGATTCAAACCCACAACATTGCGAGAGCGAAGGGACCATGCTGACCACTGCAGCACTGTGCTGTCCTCTAATTAAAGGCGTTCTGCAAAAGGTAGATAAGCAAAAAAAACGTGGCAACCAAATCAAGTGTCAAAATAACGAAGAGGGCAGGACGTAAACGAAGGCTGAGCAGAGCAGCTCACTTGTACAGGTAGTTGGTTCTGCAAAGCGTCCCATGGGTCTAGGCTTCTGAGCTTCAAAAAACTGAGATATTATATAACAAGTGGAAAAAGGAGCAGGAGGGAGGGAAATTGCACAAACCTCTGCAGTCATCTAACTCTTGACAGCTTTCCAATGACAGCTACTACAAAAAAAGCTCTAAGTAAAATCCTGTGGACCTACAATGAACAGCCAGAGAGCTATAAATAGCTGACGAGTGAGTAAGCAGCTGGGGGAGCTTTCAGAAAGGCTGGGTGAGTCCCCCCCAAATTAGTGTAACACTCATTCAGGTTAACGTACAGCTAATGTAACTCGAAATATGTTTTTAAATGTACCAGGTGGGGAGATAATGTACTTGAGGAGCTGAAGGAGGCCTTGGTCTGCCCGGCCTGCAGACATTCTTTGCTCAATATCGAATCGGCATCAGAGGATAATTGATCTTTCCTTTTCCACTCGGCCAAATTCAGTTCATTTGTCACTGAGCATCAGCATCTGAAAGAGCTAGGGTTCAGTTTTGTTAAACTTTTGTTCTTTAACATATTAATAAAGTAACAGTCTTCATTTGAGTACTTTATGTACTGCTGAATATTTCACTTGTTCTTAGACTGCGGGTTAAACCTTCAGGAGCTCAATCTGCACCTTGACCTGAAGTCAGGCACATTGTTTGCTTATTTGACGGCTGTTAAAATGCGATATACACTGGTCAATGGCTCCCCTAGTCATGTGATGGAGACCATGAATAACATACCTAAGAGTGATTCAGTATTCTGCCCTTTCTTGCCTCTTATATGACAGAGAACATGCAGCTTAATCATTAATGGTATAAGTTCCCAGTGGACTCCTAATGGAACTGCCTGTGTTTCTCTGACTTGTTTCTCAGACGTCTTGATCCGGCGTTGTGTGCGGCAGTCCGCCTGCAGTTTCCCCATGATGTCTTTCCCTTCCTTGCCAGTGTCACATCAGCCATTATTGTCATTATTGAAGCTCCTGCCAAATGTGCCCCAGCTGTCACCCTCTTCAAAGGACGGCTTGTCCAGTTTGAAAGCATGTAGGGCTGCTAAGTGCTTAATTACTTCAGAAGCAGCTGCTGTATGGAGGAACCAGCTGTCAATATGTCCATCCATCCATCCATCTATCTATCTATCTATCTATCTATCTATCTATCTATCTATCTATCTATCTATATCTATCTATCTATATCTATCTATCTATATCTATATCTATCTATCTATCTATCTATCTATCTATCTAATACCAAGAGCCTGTCCCAGAAGCTATGGGCGCAGGGCAGGGAATAACCCAGGATGGGGAGCCAGTCTGTCACAGGACACATACACCCTTCCCATTAACCTCAGCATGTTTTTGGACTGTGTAGGGGGGGGGGAGTGGAGGAAACCCCATGTCGGCATGGGGAGAACATGCAAACTCCATGCACACAGATCTGGGACAGAGGATCACAGCCTGGGCTCCCGAGGTGTGAGATGGGGGCGCTAACCGCTAACCGCTAACCACCACGCCACCATGCTGCCATCACAGGATATTCCGTTTACTTTGTTTCTGTTACTCATTTATTGAGCTGTTTCCTTTATTGCGGCCTTTACCCATATCTGAGAACCGCACCCACACCCATTTTTGTACAGCCTGCAGAGTCTGTGCTCAACTGTGATGATTGGCTGATTTCCAGCCAAAGCCATATCTACATCCATCAGACTTAGTAAGGAATTTCTCTTAATTATGCTCAGCTGGCCCTGCTTGGACTAAAATGCACCCTGACTTCTCTGAGCATGAGGGAGAAGGAACATTAAACTGCAGGGACGATCCTCTGAGCTACGCAGTGGACAGTTATATAAGCAGGTTTGATAAAAAGCTGTTTTCAGTAGCATTTTTAATGTCTCCATTAGCAAACAAATATTCAGCATTTTTTTCATTATTTGATAATCTGCAGATGCATAACTAATAATGCAATTCCGGGCTAAAACGGTCTGTGCAAAACAATCTGGTGCCCTATGATGCACACCTGCATGAAACATTATACAGGCATAATCAAGGTACAAAATGCACAATCAAGGTACAAAATGCACAATCAAGGTACAAAATGCATGATCAAGGTACACAAATAAATGAAACTGAATAAAAAATGCTAATCTGAAATTTTCTCCTCCATTTTGTCCCTATTGCCTTGCCCTATTCTTTATTCATGCTCCTCTTCTTGAGCTAATTTTATTTTGTCGCTATATAATATTTACAAAAAGGAAAGCACTCATACCTAGACACAGAAAATGATTGTTATCAGGCACATGTCCTAACAGTTTTCCCCTAGAGTTATATGGAGCCTCATATGTGCAGATATCCTTCATCAGCGACTCCTCAAAAGCTAAAGTGAGACACTGAGCTGTGCACTTTCATGTCACTCAGATATTTGTCCATCTTATGGAATGGTCCATAAATATCTCACATGATATTACGTTGAGTGTTTTATTATTTGTTATAGTAAAAACTTTTAAATCTGGTGTGTGTGTTTTTATGAGGCTAGTCATTACTTGAACAACCCAGTGACCCTGACCAGGATAGGCAGTTGGAAGAAGGATGAATGGATGGGTGGATGGATGGATGGATGGCATGAATCACTTCCGATTTATTTAATTTATATTAGGAGACATTGGCATGCTTTGTGTTGTAACACGCTAATGCTTTTAACGTTGTACACAGGAAAACAATATTAAAAGAAGTTTTAAATAGTAAGAAATACAGCATGAGGGGCAGTGAAATAAAAAATTCACATGCAGGTCACAGGGCAGGGGACACCCTGGATGGGATGCCAGTCCATCGCAGGGAACGCACTCACACCAAAAGTAATTTAGAGATCATAAGTGAATCAGTGTATTCATTTTTCATTTCCTTTTACATAAAAGCACTGAAATAAATATGTATACAGTTCTTATAGAATGTCTTGGGATGCTTATATTGGTACATATATCGCAATTTTATGGTTTCTCTTAAGAGAAACCATTAATAATTTCTTTACAAAAAAATGTGTCACATTACAAACAACCAGAAGTGAAATGTTAATTTCAAGTACCAATAAATCAAAACCCAAATTATGGTTTTATAAGAGCTGTTCTGAGTTAAGAATTTAATCGACAAGCATCATTGGGGGCTTTTTAATTAGTGACACTTTTGCAATAACATAAAACGCCAGACATCTGTGTTTAGTGTCCCCTTGTCAGCCAGTGACTACAACTGCATTTAACATCAAAATGGCAAAAACAGAACTGAAGGAGTCAGTCACAAAAATTATGACACTTAATAAAAAGAAAATGTGCAGATACGAAAAACATTGCTTATCATTAGACTTCTGTTATAAAACCAATAAATTTGAAACATTATTACAGAATTAATCAAGCGTCCCAAGACTTACTGTGAGCGCTGTATACAGTATAGCGGATAACATAGAAATAACCTTAGCTGAGCTGTTCTTGCTATTTTTAAATTGCTGACTGATCAGACCTTTACTAATACTACGGAGAGTTTGATGCCCAGACTCTTCTGGTACCCAGCAGAAGCTCATTAAAGTTGTGTTACCATGCTCCCTCTCTGTGTCATGCACTTTCCAAATAAAGAAATGGGACACAGTGCGCCCCCTGGAGTTCATGTGGGAGCACGCGGCTGAGAAAGCGCGCGGGGGGGGGGTGGATGAGAGCATCCTTTGGGATGATTCATTTCCTTGACGCGAATGATAAAGGATAAGAGATCTATACCCTATTTGTGGTCAAATCCGGCATATCAGCGCCAATAAACTCCGTCCTTCTTTTATCTTTATTTGCGGCTGCATTGCGAGCGTAGATGTTAAAGTGGAGCAGGAGCGTAGCCTTATAGCTCACCCTGAGCCTGCTCACAGTCCGCATCACTGCACCACAGCCTCTCGCGTCACACACAGGCTAGCACTTCTCTGCCTACCACTGGCCACCTCAGTCTTACTTTAATGAAACTGAGAATACCCATATATCCTAAATCCTTATATAAAGGTCACCTCTTCTCATTATTTTATAATGCATTACTATAAATAATGAATGCCTTATGTAATATTTTGAGCTTGATTCCTCTCCTTATGTAACGCTTCTTTATTCCTAGGTGTAACACTGTGTTAAAGGTCAAAGTGCAGACTTCAGGTATATGGTACATACACTAGCCAGTCAGCTGAACATGTTTGTTTGCCCCCCCTTTCGTTTCAGTTGTTTGGTACGTTCCTGTGCTCCCGCCACTGCGCGCTGTCTAGCCGCCCGGGATGAAGTGGCCCTTCAAGTCCAAATCGGCGCCCATGGTGGGCACAGAACCCACGGGTGCCGTGACCACGGCCACCCCGCCCCCCCCAGTGGCGTCCACGGTGGCCGATAATTCGACCGAGACCGGGGGCCACCCAAACAAAAACGATGCCTTTGAGGAGATTAAGAGCAAGTTCCTGAATGAGATTAATAAAATCCCACGTGAGTTTCCCTTCCAGGTCGGAGGGCAGAGGTCGTGTCCTTGGGTGAATCTCAATACCAAGAACGCAAAGACTGTACTTGTGGCTCTTGGCAAGACCCGTCTTGCTAACTTGCCTTCCAGGAATGAACTTGGGGTGCAATGAATCTTGGGATTAGTCCCGTCTGGTGAAGATGCAACTGATGTACCCTTCATATTTGGGGTGGAGCAAGAACAACATCTGGAGATTTCTACTGTCCTCCAGAACTTGTGGTCTTAGGATTTGTCATTGGTATTTGACAGTGGAAGATGACGTAAAACGGGTACAGGAGAACACAAGTATGGTCAAGTACGCATATTGAGATTCACCCCTTGATAAGATTCCAAGCTACTTAGTAAGACTTACCCGTGACACTTGACAGAAGGCTTAATGAGTACAACTGATATAGTTTTTTAACTGTATTACCGAGGAATTAATGCAATTAATATATTGTGTGTATTTTTTAGCACTGTGCCATTGCATCTTTTGCCTAAATTGTATGCAATTGTTTCATAATTGCCTTGGGTAGGATCTTTTAACTGAAAATGTGTGGTATTGTTCAGTTGGTATTTTGTGTGTGTGTGTGTGTGCGTGTGTGAATGAGCGGTCCCCATAAGGATATGTTTACCCTACATGTGCGTGTGTGTGTGTGTGTGAGATGCTGCTATCCTTATCCTGGTTTTCAATTAGAAAAATCAATATCACAACTGAACGCCATACGTGTAGATTTATCTGAATATGTCAGCTGAAGCCGTGTGGCTGCGGGGTGTTGGGGGGGGTTTGCGCCTGGGATTAAACACTCCGGCCCCTGTGTGCCAGTGCCACCCTGGGCCCTCATTGCCATCGCCGTGGTCGCCTGCCTCCTGGTGCTCACCTGCTGCCTCTGCATCATCAAAAAGTGCTGCTGCAAGAAGAAGAAGAAGAAGGGCAAGAAGGACAAAGGCGGCTTCAACATGAAGAACATCGGCAAAGACGATGAGGTAGGGCGTCCATGTCAGATCGTGGGAGGAGGACCACCCACAGCACCCGTCACCTCCTCAACTCTCCACACGTCTGATCCCTTTCCGATCTGTGTACACAAGTAGCACCTGATGAAACCGGATTTAAAAATCCAGTAAAGGATCTGCATATTACCATAGCATCAATAAATTATTATAACAATATGACCACAAATTCACATTCGCAGTCAGAATGTGGGTGTGGTCATTCTCATTGAACATCAAAACCCATCCACCTCAGTGAGGGCTCTGGTAAATGTTTCTCCCTCTCTGATTAGATGACTTCCAGTAGAGCACATTTAATTTCTGTTTCTCAGGATAACCTCTGTTACCTTCTGCATTTATGGGTAAATGTGACAGCCGTATGGCTGTATGTATTTTTTTGTCCAGCCGGACGACATGCCGCACTTTGCACGTTAGTGTACTGGGAGTATTTTCCCAGTTCCGCTAAGGTCTGTCTGCTTTAGCGAGACAATCGTCATGCTAAGCGACAGTGGAGATGTTTGGCTGATTGGACAATATAAAGATCTCCCTCAGGAAAATGTGGGTAAGTCATTTAGTAGTTGAGTGCAAAGAGGGTAGTCTTGGGAAAGAGTGCTGCTTGCAGTCTGGCATAATTAATAGCAGCTCATATATGGCTCACACACTTGACAATGTAAGGAGTGAATGACTTTCAGGGATAAATATACTATGTTTGTGTCATTTTTAAGCCTGGGTCACATTGTGTTGTACTCGTTTTGTGTCTGTGACTTCAATCTCTCCCTTCTTTTCTTTTGCTCTCCTTTTTCCTCCTGCATTGTGTCTTGTGTGTGCACCATTTAAACTTGACTGTCGTGGACCTCTCTGCGCTACGGTAGGTTGAAGGCTCACAGCGCCACCCTGTGGCTGCCTGCAATAACGATTACGCTGTATGGAACGGTGGGGGTGGAGGGTAGTGGGCAAGGCGGTGGGCAATGGATGAAGTGGCTGTTTTCTTAAGCCTAGTCGCTGCTTTGTTTGGGAGCATGAAAGGTGACATTATTCTTTGTTTTCCAGAAAATGCTTGTATTTTTCCATACTAATCAAATTTTAGTGTGAAGCCAAGAGTGAAACTCAAATGAAATTTGAATCCAAACTCTGAATCCAGTGGTCTGCTAGATTTTAACACATAGTTTGCATGCATTAAAAAAAGTTGTTTATTTGCGAATGAAAATGAAAACCTAAACAACCATTTTATATTTTGATGTTAGTGTACGGCACAAGCCATTGTGCTTCTTTCATAAACTATGCCTGGTATTGTATTACGCTCAAACTTTTATTCTGCATCAAAAGTTAAGTCAAGTTTAATGCCCTTTCTCACCGGTAAAAATTTGCTGTCCTGGCCTTGAGTTTTGTTGCATGTTGAGTTATAAATGGCTTCACCGTACAATATCAATGCACATTGGTGTTTGCTAACAACTCGACGGGCTCTTTAAGCAGCTGTGGATGGATGATTCAAACTTGACCTTGACAGTGATTTCCAAGGTGACATATCAAAAGGAAAATCATTGGAATCTAATAACAAGAATACAAACAATGTTAAAATTGGATGCAATCTAAAGGCCTGACCTCATCATAACACACTGTACTGTACACTATAAAATGTATAAAATGCCTTTAAAAATAAACATTAAAATGGAAATATTCCTATAGCCCTGCGGTAGACTGGCATCCTATCCAGGCTGCCCATGTATTGTTCCCATCACCCTAACCCCAAGAAAGATTCCGTGGGGATTTATACATTTATGGATTTATGGATACATACATGAACTATAGAAAGTATACAACCATTTAATATACTAAGTATTTGTTTTTATTCCATTCATTTTCCAACACTCAATATGGAACAGATTCCCCAATATGCTTAATGATGGTATTATTATTATTATTATTATTATTATTATTATTATTATTATTATAATTTTCACAAAAACTCTGCCACCTAAGGAACCTGTACATCAAGTCAAGTTTAAATCATTCTTTTTGGGTGACTGTACTCCTTGTCATATGAGATTATATGCGTGCTTGGCTCTAATGGGGGGGGGGCAGGTGGCCAGATCTAGCCTCCAAAGTCACACGGATGCAGCCCCCCAGCACATTTTTTTGTCGAAGCTGACCATTGACCTCGATGCTTCCCCTTTCGCGTCCCACTGCAGAAACTTCAGGACGACGACGATGACGACGCAGAGACTGGGCTCACCGAGGAGGAGAAGGAGCCGGAGGTGAAGGAGGAGGAGAAACTGGGCAAGCTGCAGTACTCCATCGACTTTGACTTCCAGGACAACAAGGTTGGCAAGACCGATGGCGCGTCTGAGAATGGGACGGCAGGTTTTCAATGAAATTACTACATGGCACAGTATCAGCATTGGCTGATATATTAAAGGGGATATGATTCACATTTAATTGTTTCGTTGACATTTTCATCCACATTTTACTTGTCGATGCAGCTGGATATTTTAGAAACTATTACGTGTTTTACGGCTGGGTGCATTCTGGGGCTGTTAGTAAAAGCCATTTGATTTAAAGTTGTTGTGCTGAACCATTATTTCACCTACTGCTTCATCTAGAACTTAAATGTGATCATTTTAAACTAGAACACTTTAGTTTTATACATCTTTAAGTTTCAGAATTGATCTTGTAAATCCATTGTCTCAAATGTCCTAGCTGAGAATTTTATTTCAAGTCCTTGGTATCTTACAATCACCCAAAACAACAATTAATTAAAGCCTCATCTGCTTGTCTTAAATTAAAAGCCTCTTCAAACTGTCCTGGGAACTGCATGACAGTGCAGAGGTTCCAAGTGCCAGAGATTTTGCTCTGCCAACTCTAAACACATCCCAAACCCATTCTGCAGGACCATAATTTAATCAGCCATGCACCCATAACTTCTGAGACAGGCCCCAGAGTCCTGCAACCCTACACAGATAATGGTTAGATGGATAATGAATTCGGACACTCTTTGTGAGAGCGCCCCCTGGTGGTGGGGCAGACTAAATGACCTACGGGTGCTGTTTTTTTTCCTCCAGCTGAGCGTCGGCATCCTGCAGTGTGCAGACCTCATATCCATGGACACAGGAGGCACATCTGACCCCTACGTCAAAGTCTTCTTCTTACCTGACAAAAAGAAGAAGTTTGACACCAAGGTGCACAAGAAGACACTAAATCCAGTCTTCAACGAGACCTTTGTTTTCAAGGTGAGCGCATCAAGTTGAATATATGGGTACGTGTGCAAAGGTATTGCGTTCAGCTCTAAAAGCCAGTGCTCCTGAAGCTTGCTAAAGTAAATATGCGTCTTATTAAGTGATTAATGTTGCATTATTGAGTTGTGCTTTTCTTCATCAGAATTCCAATACACCAGTTCAAAGGCTGCACTTACAAGCTTATAGAACGAGCAACGACTGCTGCATGCTGTCACACTGAGACTCAGACAGGCTGCTTATGAGAACTGCTTAGCGAGCTGCTTCTGGTGCTGGCATTAGAAAAGCAAATCGTGCCAAAGAACCCAAGCGGAACCGTTAGGGGCCGACTCAGCGGGCGAAGCTGGGTGACAAATGGTGCCCCTCCCCCTCCTCCCCCCCGTGCTGATTCAGTGATCTGTCAGGGAGATCGAGTGGGCCGGGGCTCTGCACCAGGCCCTCTCCTGGGCTACCATTTATTGATAAAGGGGATATGGTGAAGTAAAGGGAATTCTGGGGGAAAAATGCCTGCATACGTGTCAGATCCTCAATCTTAGATGGCTTATTTTTGAGGAGCACGGGTCTGGGGAAGTGCAGGACTTCCAAAAACTGGAGACATGACAAGATTTGATTTAATACTTGATTCTGGCTGTGCTTTGATTTCAGTTTTAATGTCCTTTTCTCTATGCAGCTGTGTTTGGGATGTGATTTTTATCAGCTTGCCTCTCTCTAGCAGGCTTTTGGGTTCAGGTGTCGCTCCTGCCCTGGCTACAAGGCATCTGCATGGCCTTGCTCCTCTTGTATGGATTTACTGTCCAGTCAAAATAAACTAATTTTACCTTAGTGTGTGAGTGATCTGTATCGGGCTGGAATCCTAGTCAGCTCAACCAATCAGTCGATCACTGCATATGCTATGGATCAATGGATGGATTGAGTATTCAGATGTTTACAGAACATACTTTAATATACTTATATGTCAACACATATTTACAGTATCCAAAAGACAACGCCTGATCTCTCTCTCTTCATCTAAGGTTGATGTTCTTCATGTGGTAATGGACAAGGTTTGAGAAACTGCCAGATTAAGGCATTTTCAGTCTGAAATCGTCATTAATATCGCTGATGTCAAAGTTACGCTACATACCAATATGCATTTCAGTGAGGCACAAATGTCACTGAAACATGTGACTTCCATCCGGGGAGGAAAGATGAGAAAAGAGTCCAGACAATTCACTAATGTGGCCGGACAAAATAAAGCGTATGAAAGCACGACTCGCAAATAGTTAATTCCTCATGTTTCTCAGACGGTGAAAAACAGTGTTTTCCAATTACACTGGCAAGTGTCGCCATTAACAAAGAGCACAGTGAAAAGGCATTAATATTCTGCAGGATAATATGCGACATCAATCATGTGCTGGCAGCGGCTGCATGGTATCCTGCCTGTTTTATTGCAACAAGAAACGTAGGAAGTTAAAATGTACAATGTGGCTCCTTTGCCTCTGAAATACCACTATTGACATAATAATGGAATTTTTTTTGCCTTTTAAATTGAATTCAAGCCTTTATTAATTAGTCTTGCCATGAGACTTGTTTCTCCCTCTGCAATGCCATCCTCTCCTTCTCTAAGGATGTAAAGCTGTCAAACACCGAGAGTCGCATTTGATTAATAATTAAATGAGCAGTGCAGTCAGATACAGCAGCTCTTGTCGTTTTTTAACCTCTCCTCACTTTACATGCCGCCCGCGCCCCCCTCTGCAGATCCCCTACCAGGAGCTGGGGGGAAAGACGCTGGTGATGTCAGTCTACGACTTCGACCGCTTCTCCAAGCATGACATCATCGGGGAGGTGAAACTGCCCATGAACACGATTGACCTGGGTCAGCCCATCGAGGAGTGGCGGGATCTGGAGAGCGTGGAGAAGGAGGAGGTGCGGACCCCACACACACCCGCTTCTCACTGGCCACAAGGAGTCCCGTATACTAATCGCGGGTTTTAGTTCTCGGAAATGAAAGCCAAAGTATGTAGGACATCAAGTCGTCAATACGCATCATTTCTAACCTGAAAAATACATTTAACATTCTCAGCTAGTTAGTACTGCAAATTTCATCCATCAAATGATTAAAATATTTAAAATATGTAAACAGAAATAAATTATGCAGTTTTACAATTCTGTGATTTTTAAATGATGGCCTGCGGAAATGGGTGTGATTTGAATGGAGAAACGTGACCCTTACTGCTGAACCCTGAATTATGAAATATAACAGCAGGCAGGAAGTTAATGTAAGATATTTTTCATTATTGGGGCCCATTAATTACAACAAAAGATAAGTCAATTGGGATTTCCCTCAAATGTAACTATAAATGTGTGACACCTATGTGAGTCCTGCTATAATGATGTTTGTCATATTTTCCCCCATCTTGTCCTACACAGCCTGAGAAGTTAGGCGACATCTGCATTTCTCTGCGCTACGTTCCCACTGCTGGCAAGCTTACTATCTGCATTCTGGAGGCCAAAAATTTGAAGAAAATGGATGTGGGTGGACTTTCAGGTTGGGGCCCAGTTCAGTCCTGCTCTACAGTACCTCTCATGCAAATGTTCCCCAGTGCATGACCATATGGCAATGAGTGAAGTTTGCAAAAGAGTGTTAGCAGATTTGTAGCTGGGTTGTAATACAATTTTTAAAAGAGGTGCACAGAAGGAGTTGCTTAATGGATATGTAACATCTGTCATGCTGTTCTCCACAGGCTTGTCAAGGCTGCCACCTAGTGGCATCTCAGTGTAACAGGCTCTGTGCAAGATAGATATCTTGGCAAAAAATTATATTACGCTAATTTATATTGATTATACTGGATAAGTGCTAATGGAAATGAAAGTCAGTTTCACATAACTCTGATCAATTTCTGCGAGAAAACATAAAAAGCCATCCATCCATCCATCCATCCAACTTGAAGATTCAGTGAGTAAAAGCTGTTTTTCCAAATCTCCATTATGTATAACTGTACTTTGTGTTCACAATCCCGTGGCAGATCCCTACGTGAAAATCCACCTCCTTCAGAATGGTAAGCGTCTTAAGAAGAAGAAGACCACGGTGAAGAAGAATACGCTCAATCCATACTATAATGAGTCCTTCAGCTTCGAGATCCCACTGGAGCAGATGCAGGTACAGTGCTGACCCGAGGTCGCGGTGTGGTTCTAACATGGACAGTATATACCTGGCTTAAGATTCACCATCACTGTCGTACAGTCAGTCTGTAAAATGGGTATCAAAAGAGAATAAGCAGATTTAGCTGTACTTAAATACAAATTTTAAAAGAGATGCACAGAAGAACTTTCTTTATGTACATGTCACATATAATCTTGTTGTTTCTGTAGTGTAGTGAATCTTTAAAATAGGTAATTGAAGGTGGTGTTCGGTTGTGTTTATTTTGAATTTTGCACCCACAATTCTGTGGTATCTGGGTGTAGAATCCTACCAGGGTGGTCATATCATTCTGCGAGCCGGGCTTGTGCCCTGTCCATCCTCTTAATTGTATTTTAATGTGGAAATGATCCACCCACAGAGGGCTGGGATGCGCATCTGCGTCAGGACATAATTACAGCTTGATGGAGGTTACAGGCCAGGTGGCACATTCTGTTAACAAGCCAGTGCAGAGCACGAGTGGACAAATACAGAACTGTGGATATGTGGGAAGGAGGACAGGAAGGAGTCAGATTTCAGTAACTAGATAATGTGTATCATGGTTTGGTTTCCTGTTTATCTTTTGCTGTAATTAACTACTACAGATTTTAGGTTTTTCTCAGTGCAAGGAACAATATGTTTTCAGAGATTTCACTGAATATGTTCATACTTTTAGCTAGTCTCAAGTTAGATGATAAGCTCCTGGGCTTTGTTTGTTATTAATCAATACTATTGATTCGATGGATAAGAGTAAAACTTCTGAGAGTGCTGGCCTTTAGTATTCAAGACTGCATTGTCCTCTCAGAGAGGAGGCAGTGTGTGGTTTGGGGGCTAATCCCCTGTGCTTGTAATCAGATGGTTGCCGGTTCAAGTCCAGCCTCAGCAGAATGGCCCTTGAGCAAAGCCGAACTCCCAGCTCCACTGCCAAGTTCACTCTCACGTACATGTGTGCCATAGAGAACAAGATGGTGTTGGTGAAAAAAGAAAATCCCCCCCTGATGTGTCAATGACGTCATCCTAATTGTTATTTGAGAAGACTGATAATCAGTGTAATCCAGTAGATGTCGGCAGACAAGTGTAGTTATAGACGGCTCTCCTGATTTCCTTTGGTCCATCTCTTCTAGAAAATCGTGGCAGTGGTTACTGTGCTGGATTACGACAAGATCGGGAAGAACGACGCCATCGGCAAGGTCTTTGTGGGCAGCAAGGCGTCTGGCACGGAGCTTCGACACTGGTCCGACATGCTGGCCAATCCACGGCGGCCCATTGCCCAGTGGCACTCCCTCAAACCCGAGGAGGAGGTGGATGCCATATTAGCCTCTCTGTCGGGCAAGAAGTAGCCCCCCCCCCCCCATAAAACCAGTTACCCAACTAACTCAAAACCCCAACACTGCATGACATTCAAGGATTAACAACCATGACATGGTCAAACCCATAAAATCATCCAAAACCCAGAAAATTAACAGAAAAGTAAGAATCTTCTATTCTTACATTTTTTTTCATGTATTTCAACAATTTCCATCAATTAAAAAAAAATTAAAACGAATACGTGGACAGTACAGGAAACATACAGAGGATTGGAAGAGATTGTTTATACAGGTTCATCTACTTTTAAGCATTTTAATTTGGAGTAAGATACTGTTAAATTTATTTATTTTTAGTTTACATGGAGGGGTGCATGCTGATGTGATATCTCACACCTTTGGGATCAGGGTTTGAGTCTCCGGCATGGCATTGAGTCTCCATGTGTGTGGAGTTTGCATGTTCTCCTCGTGTCATTGTGGGGCTTCATCGAGGTTCTCCGATTTCCCCCCACAGTCCAAAAACATGCTGATGTTTATTGGAGTTGCCAAATTGCCCATTGGTGTGAGTGGTATGTGACCGTGCCCCGCGAGGGCTTGGCACCCCCCCACCCCACTTTGTTCCCTGCCTTGCACCCATTGCCTCTGGGATTGTCTCCAGACCCCTTATGACCCTGAATAGGACCAGTGGTTTCGGAAAATATGTGGATGGATAGTTTACATGATGTTGTCTATTAAATTATGAAATCAGTGGAGGATAGCTGGTGATGACATTGAAGCATTCATCTTCTGAATCAACATGCCCAAATTTTGGCAGTAGGGGAGCTGATTGGGTCTGGTAGATATAGAATTTCAATCTGCCTGCCCTGTCCCCTAGAGTGAAATACACTGTGTGTTTGTAGGTCAGTTCTTGGTTTGGGGTTTGGGAATACAGAACAGTAAAATATGAATAATGCATATGCACGTTCCATCAGGGAGTTGTTTATCTGTTTGTTTGTTTGTTCATCAATTCAGAATTTGTTTATTTATGAATGATATTCCGACGTGACTACATGCTTCATAGCTGTATTTGGAGATGGTTATATGAGGGAATGTCACCCTTTCCACTCAAACAAGTTTTAGTCATGTAAGGACGTTACAAATAGAATCTCACCTACACGACGGTCAGCTTTTTGTGCCTTTAGCATGAAAAAGTTCATAAAAAATGCAAATATGTTTTGATTTTCTTTCTTTAATGAACGGGATGTCTGTGATGTAGATGTATAGTGCACTTAGGTTCATGTATTTATTATTTGTGTGTTACTGAGGAACAATGTCTTCCAAATCAATGGTTGATTGGACCTCTGTCTTAAGGACTGAACTCTAAGGACCCCACAAATGGGATGTTTGTGAGGTGTCTTTTCTACTGCCTGCAATCTACCACCTTACATATAAATGCTTCCAGCTCATTACTTCATTCATCAGCCATGGAGCCATGGAGTTTTCCTATGTGTTTTGAAAACATGTAAATGCTATTCCTGGCTTATCTATTAAGCAATCTGCAGTAAGAAAATGGAACGGGAAAAATTCTGAGGAATAGCTATATAAATGTACTAATTGGTGCCATACTGTCTTTTTCATGCGAACCAATGTAAGCATCTTACATTAGCGATAAACTGAAATCCATAGCTTCATAAACATGTATTTAAAATACATACTTTTTCATTGAAGAGGTTCTAAAGTAAACATTTAATGCTCTTAAAATGTTGAATTAGAATGGTTAAAAACATAGAGCGAGAGAGAAAGAGCAGTTTTAAAAATCTGAATGGGTATAGTGAATGACATTATTTTGGTATATGCTTATTTTATGTATATCAGGGCATTACTAGTCTACCTTAAAATGGTGCACTTTATTTTACATTGTATTTTACAATACCCTCTTTCTTTCGTACGTGTCCCGTTGAACAATGTGTATTGACAACTGAAGAGAGCCGTTTGAAGTTTCTGATCAGTCGCCTGTTGTTCTAACAAGTTTGGAGCAGTTTGTTGTTTGTTCAGCACCATCACTGGAACCAATATGCTTCCAGATACAAAAGCGAATGTTCCTACAGTGCAAACTAGAGGGCGACGGAGAGTAGCCCACAGCGTGAATGTAACAGAGCCAAATATCTGAATCCCGGTACGCCACTGTGGAGGTCCCATGAAATGAATCAATTTGAGGTATCTGTAATTTTCTACCTGACTGCACAAAACATCAAAAACTGTGCAGTCTACAAGCAAAACTCAGTGTAAAAAAACAAAGTTATCAGAAATTTATCTCACGAAAGAAACATTTCATGATTCACTGTCATTTAGAAGCATTCAACAGCATGATCCCAGTCATCCCACAAATGTTTCATTTTAAATATGCCTTTAGAAATATTTAGTAAATTACTGTTATCTATGTATTGTCTTCTTATCAGCATTTTTAAAAATACATTTGCAAAGAAGACTTCCTCAAATAGTGTTGATAAGGTAGCAGAAGCTTGTGTGAACCTACAATGAATTTTTTCAGAAACCGATTTTCTAGTCATGCTCATTTTTATGCGCAAACATACAATAATAATAGCCATGTTTCCAGATGTTCAGCTGTGGTTAAAAGTCATGGAATAATAATAATAATAATAATAATAATAATAATACAGGCACCAGGCCCGCATGATCCTGACCAGGCTAACTGGTTAGAAGGAGGATGGATGAACGGATGGGTGGGTGGATGGATGGATAGACAGACAGATGGACAGACAATAATGAATGATAATTAATATAACAGAACAGTCACTTTACACAGGACCATAACAAGTGCAGTAAACACTCAGAGATTCAAATATCTGCAACCAAAAAGCCATCCTTCTAGCATCAGCGTGTGTCTTTTATTCTGAAATATAAAGAACACGTACTAAAATAAACAAAAAGCAGGAAATAAAGCACTAAACAGCAAATGGGAACATTCATCAAACTATCCATTGGTGTGTAGTTTTGCCTCATTTTTCTCTCTCTCTATATATAAATATATACATAGATAAAATTTGTTAATATTGCATGCTTCTATACAATACTGTATATAGCAGCATGTTTTAAAGGCAAAGCAAAAAATATATTGTGTATGTGTATGTCATTTCCCATTTTAATAATAAAATTTGGAAAACGTATTTTTTTCTGTATCTTTCATTAGAGTGTGTGGGACGTGGCAGTAAATATCGGATACCGAAGCTGCTGTTTAGTCTCTTTTCAGTGCTAAACTACAAGATTCCCATGACGGAACACTATTTACAAAAAACAATTTAGTTGCATGCTTGCTTTTCGTGAGAATAATTAGGGGTTAGTTTACTGGAGAAATGGGAACAGTGGTGAACTTTTGAACCATAGTGGTGAACATTTGGATTGCTTTACATGGTAGGGGGTTTGCTAAAAAAAGAAGAAAAAAATGTAAGATCTATAGATAAAAAAAAATATGATTAAAAAAGTTCTCTAATCGTTCCCTGGTTCCCATGGTGATTAATTGCCCACTTAAGGAATACAGTCATTTCATTTCATTTCCTTTGTAGTCCCTTTGTAGATTTTTTCCCAACTGTTGTCAATTATGAGGTGACTGGAATGTAATGTTATCTCATTTTCGCCACATCTGTCACGCTTACCTCTGACCCAAAGCGAAGGGACAGCCAGTTAAAATACCGGGCTGTCAATATGACTAAGGGTAATTTTTGAGATGTCCTTAGCGGCGAGTGAAGTAAGACCTGTGAACGCTGCCAGATGCCCAGAGTGCAGGAAAGTGACTTTGCAAGCCAGCTGCTGTCTTCCAAAGCAGTGAAGACTAACCCCTGCTCACACTATTTTGCTCCATATGCCCACGCATTTGTTTGAATCCAAACCCGAGGTGCCCAGTGGGCAGCCAAGTACAGCGTTTTTTATGGATCTCCCTGGACCAGCACTGAGCCCATCTGCCTCCGACCTCTGCGACATATTAAGGCCTGTTCGCAAATTCCTCTCAATAATAACTTGATTCAAAATCAGTGTCCTTCCTTAGATTGGAGAAGCAAAAAAAAACAAAAAAAACAAAAAACAAATTTGCTTTGTAGTGAATTTAAAACTGTGTTTCCACACTCCTTCCCCCCAGATAACGAATCAGAAGGTTTGATTGGTTGGTTGTTTGAATCATATGTATATTATAAACAAACTAGCAAAGAGACACAAATAAATAAAGCCATATGACTTGAGTATTGTATAAAATTCTGATTTTAATTTCGTTAGATGTGTAAACATACGACTTCTGTGTGTCTGCCTGTTGAAATTCTAGGGTGTTGTTTAAATGATTTATATGTACTTAGTATTTATCTATAATTATATTTCTTTTGCCATTTGTAAATGTTTTTTTTAATTTTATTGAACAAGATGTATAGAATCATAATAATAAAGATACAGCCAGATTGTATATATTTTGTGTGGTAAGTGTATAAATTAAATATGCTATATTGTGAATTATTTTATATACATGTGTTCATTCTTAAAGAGTTCCACATTGTTTGAGCTGGGTACTGTGGTGCTGGAGGTATGTCTGACATAGTGATGCGATACTCAGCAACAACTTTATTAGGTATATGGTACTGCCACCAGACGGGCTTCAATGGTAGGCCAATTGGGCATTCAAAGAAGTATTTTTGCACACTACTGTTGTACTGCACTGAATGTTTTTGCATTTGTGGCAATCCATTGAGTTTTAACGAGTCTGGCCATGCTCCTCAGACCTCACTCAGTAACACAGCATTTTTTTCCAAAAGAAGTGCAGCTGACTGGATGTTTTTTGCTTATTGCACCAAACCCCCTAAACTCTAGACACTGTAGTATGTGAAAATCCCAGGAGGGCAGACTCTAAAACCTGCACGTCTGAAAGGAGCAATAACACCACATTCAACATCACATAAATCAGCCACCTTAACCATTCCAAAGCTTAGCCAAACAATAACAGAACCTTTTGCGCCTTTTTCTTTGGTGGAGCAGGCTGTTCATGTTAACAAGAATGTGTACCTAATAAACAGGCCACTGACTCTATTGATAAGGAAAAAGTATATTTTTGGGGAACAAGTCATTTTTTACCGTTTGAGGCAGACTCCTTATAGAGGTCAGTCTCCTTGTGCTATGAAAAAGACTCGATACACAAACTGTCCCGAGATTAAATGAGAAGCATGATTGTAGCATAACAGGATCAGGAAATGTGTCACACCCCTCACTCTCACCCGTACCCTGGGGTCAGAATGACCCCAAAGGCATATGTCAGGCGACTTCTCATAATAACATAATTATTGTAGGAGCATGTACAAGCTAATTTGTCAAAGGAAAATACACAGGATCTGGAAGGGTCAGACCAAAGAGATCTAATCAGGTTTGATCTTTAATATTAGCAAAATGACAAAGTCTCAGGAGGGACAGAACATCTCACCTTTGGAATCTAGGACCTTACACCAGAATGAGAGTCATGAATGAGATTGCCCTCCTTTCTCCAAAACGCCAATCACAGCACCCTCCTTTCTCCAAAGCTCCAATCACAGTGCCCTCCTTTCTCCAAAGCTCCAATCATAGCACTCTACTTTATTTCTTTCATTACCCTGCCGAATTGCAGTGGTAAAGTGTGTTGCTTTCATGTCTGCCTTCATCACGAATCCGTCCTTTTCTACCCCTGAACCTTTTCTGCAATCTTCTGACCACGACAAATTTGCAATAGTTCAAGGGCCAGTTCTATAAAAACTGTCATGTATTTGTCCATTTGCTGAAGCCTCACACTTCCAGGGTTTTAGGCAGCTGCTCTTGACATGTTCTCCCTGTGACCTGGGTGACTGACCATAGCGTGTGACTGTGTGTGTGGCCTGTGGCGGAAGAGCACCCTCTCCTGGCTGTCCCCTGCCCTGCACTTCCTGGGATAAGGGCCAGCCTATCAGAGACCCTGAAAGGGACAGGCAGTATGGATGTGAAGATTACAATGTTTTATAAATATTTATAAACAAAGAGGAGCAGCCTAAGAAAAAGAATCGAGAAATAACAAGTAAGAAACGGGAGAGGGAGCCTTAAATATGCACTGATTAAATTAAAAAATGTAGGGTATTCAAAATTCTTCTTTGAACAATCAAACATTACTTTTTATCAGAATGGGCTTTCTGTTATATTTTATTGTATAGATTTTTTTTTAACAAAACATTATGTTCCTTAAGGGAAAAAAAAACCCATTAATTATACGATCTTGGATTATCCTGCAAAAATGTCTCATCTGATCCACCAATTACACATTTACATTCCTCATTAGGTGAAAGTAATTTTAAATAAAAAGAGATACTTTATTACTTTAGCTGTAGAAGATAATTATTGGAGAAAATAGTGCAAGAATCCCTTTGGTTGGTGAGCAGATCCATCTGCTGGGGGATGGGAGCTTATTGGGGGACAGCGATGTCCTTACAGGGAGTTTTATTCATGCCCACTAAAAATTAAGCTTTGGTATTATGGTGGGAAAAGTCAATCAAGTGTGTGAGCCTGTGCGGAAACTCTGAGAAGCACAGAGGTCCTTTTCTCATCAACAGTCACCACAGGGAGGCACCTTATCATTGACTTGTAGTGAAATGAACAGAAAAATATCAGGATTCAAGCAAAGTGAATATAGTGTTGAAGAGCAAAGTGGGGAACTCCCATGCGAAGCAGGCTGCTGGTCTTGCACCTCTATTCCCAGCATTCCCAATAGCACTGGGCAGCTGGGAAGAGGAACTGTGACGTGGGGACCCCCTTCACTTGGACAGCTTACTGATGACGCGAATCAGGGCTCCGTTCTCGTCCTTCAGCTTCTGGTTTTCGGATTTCAGGTTCGTCAGCATCTGTAGTAAACGACAGGGATGATTGTAGCAGCATGTTCAGCAGGCCTCCGACTAGGCCTGTGGGCTGGTGCCGAAACCCTAAACCCTAAACCCTAAACCCAAAACCTGAAACCCTAAACCCGAAACCCTAAACCCTAAACCCAAAACCCTAAACCCAAAACCCTAAACCCAAAACCCGAAACCCTAAACCATCTCTCCATGGCATCCCTGTGCAAAGGCTTCTGCACTACATGTACTTAAATAATATGGGATATTTCCATCAAGACCCCGTCAATTCAAAACAAACTCCCAACGTCAGGTCCAGAAGGGGCAGCAAACGAAACAGAGAAACACCATCTCTAGAGAATATCCTTCTGAAGGAAGAGTTTTATGATGAGCGGCTAAATTTATCAAAAGAACAGATTATTTATGTTATGTTTTTACTGGTCTAGCACTGGGACTGAACATCCACAAATAGTTGCAATCCAGTACATACTGTATGGCTATTTAAGGCTGCTTGGCTATACCGGATTTTTCCATCTTTCCTGACAATAAGGCTCCAAGTAAAGCGATTGCTACTGCTGTCTGTTTTTTTGTTCATAATTAATTAAAACTTACATATAAAATCGTTTTTAACATGTCTATTCAGGCGGGAATATTAGATGTTCTCGTTAGAGTGATCTTTGGCCATCTTGCCACTTCCTCCAATAGACGCCAACTCCTGCGAGATCACGCGATTCTGTCACTCAGTGCAGGGAAGTAGCTCAGAATCACGTTCCTCAAACATGGGAGGTTTCGGTGTTCAAGGCTGCCTTGCTTGAATGTGAGTTATAACTCTCCTCTGTGACCTATGGATGTCTAATAAAACATCAGTGCTGTTTTATGCAGTCTTTGGCATTATCTGGCCTCTCCAGTCCCTCCATTCCATCCTCGGACGTTAACTTCCCTTGACGTCATGCAAAAGACCCCATGAGATACCCAGGAGATGAGCCTGAAAAGCCCGAACGGGGCTCTCTGTTCTTTCCTTCAGCTGCACTGGGGGTTAAGTGCAGTAAAGGTAGTTATGGGGCCATTTAAAGTTAAATCATTAACATGTTTCAGGCCCCCCCCCATCTTTCAGTACTGGGTCCCACACAGTCTGTAAGCCCATCCGCCACATAGCACACACGCTTACACACTACGGGAAATTTATACTTGTGGCTCACACCCTAACCCCCGGAGAGGTGCTCCTGAGATTGTTCATTTTAATTTTATATATTTCCAGAAACAATTCAAAAAGCCGACTCACCTTCACCTAATGCCATTTACTCTTTTCCACTAATAGCTCTTTCTTTTTTCAAATGTGCCAAAGTAAATGCCTTACTTTATGCATCATTATTCAGCAATATTAGCAAGTCACCACCTGAAATTAGAGGTCTTTACTGGATCAGAATTATGACCCAGAACCACACACTATGCTAAAATTACAAGGATGGTAGACATTTTTCTTTATTATGAAATAATGACTCATTTTATTTTCTTGCCAAAAGCTATTTAAATTTGTATTAAATTTGCATATAGGCATATTTATATTATTGGATTTTTTAACTTTTCCCCGCAATTTAATTTTTTTTTTTCAAAAAAGTTTTCAGTCTTTATATTCATTAATATCTGTGCTTGGTACATGACTCACTGGCTCTGCCAGGCATGAAATACAAATGGAGGAATCCAGCTTCATACAAATGCAGGAATCCAGGAGATTTTGTGTAAAAGTTTAGCCGCATGACGGCTGCAAACCGACTTGCACTTGGCACCAAGCGCCAACAGCAAAGACCATTGTAGCTGCAGCGTGGTTTTGGCAGAGAACCTGTGGCGAGCCACAAAACCAGACTGTGGTTATGAGCTAATTCCATGCTGTGCACTGATAGCAAGTCACACGGGAACTGAACTGCCCCTGTCTTGTCTTCTGGCTGCTAGTCGTGATTTGAGGCTAACAGACCACCTTCCTGGACAAATTATGTGTTCATTCCATCTGCACCTACTTAGAAATTGCACCAACTTCCTCATACTCCAGTGTTTCAATGCATGCCATGAATTCAAAATTCACTGAGCTTACCATTAAATGATTTCCTATTGTAAAGCACAATGAGAAGAATTATAACATGAGATTTTTCATTTTTATCGTTCTTTAGGGCCCCCGATGGACTGACATCCCATCCATCGTACCCCTTACCTTGTGACCTGTATTACCTAGGAAATGGGTCCAGGCTCACTGATGACTATATAGTGGATAAGTGTGTGGCAGATGTGTTGTTGGCGTCACTGGTCATCCTGCTTTCCCCCTGTCTTCTACCCCTTCAGCCCCTAACGTGTTTCCTTGCTCTCCAAGCTGCCGCGGAGCTTGATGGGTTGCGGGAGTGACTCAGTGGCTAAACACCTCTGGTAATGACTTCAAGGCTGACCAGAGGCTAGTCTCATCTATTCTTTTAATATTTATTGGCTTGCTGTTTTTCTTCTGCAGCTATTTTCATCTTTGTTTTGTGTCCTTGTTTTAGGTTAACCCTGCTTGTTCCAAAGCACGTAGTGCTATGGAACCTTATTTTTATTATTGTTATTAACCCTTAATGTTTATGTTGCTTGTTGTCCTGTGCTGTTGCTGATTGGTTGTTTTGGTTATGTTCCACACCTGCCCCTTGTTAGCCCTATTATCTATGTAGATTTAAGTGTCTGCATTATATACCATTACTTTGTGGTTACTTTTAGTTAATTCTTCTCTGTTTTGTTCTTGACTCCTCATGATCCTTTTATTTTATTTTTCCCCCTTTTGTGTTCAGTTCTGGTTTTTAATAAACCCCATTTTTGTCGTGAGCCACTCCGTGGATCATCCCTCTATTTTTGCCTGCGCCATGCCCCACCATAACACATGCTTTTATCCAAAGCAGCCGACATTTGAGAAATCAGGGTCGACCAGTTCCTGGAGCGACTGGGGGTTAGGGCCTTGTTCATGGGCCCAACAGTAAAATCACTCTGCCGCCTAAGGGATTTGAACTGACGTCCTTCTGATCACACAGACACCCGTCGTGTGATCAGTCCTAATCTGCTGAGGCACACACTGCCCACATAATTACTGTCCTTTAGGTTGTGGAACTATTCAAATGCCTAGCAGTATCAAAACACAAGGTGTTAAGCTTTATGGGAGTGACCAGCATTTCAAGCCTATTTCAGGGAATGGGGTTTTAGCAGAACTAGGGCAGGTTTACTTTCTGTTCCTCGGATCACTGTTCAGATCTGACCTGAATTCTCCACCTGCATGCAGTGGCCGTGCCTTGATCAGCGATGGCAGAAGCAGGTCTGAAAAGCACCAGCTATGTTTTTGGCAGCATTTACCAGCTCCACAGTTTTCTCTCAGGCTATGGAAAACACAGATAACTCACTTGTGACTGTACGCTTTCTCAAGTTCAAGAAGGGGGTGTATCATTGTAGGACCAATAACTTCACACACACAGCTCTGGTAAAACTCACCCTTACAGTTATGCAACATTGTAAAGCAAAAATGTATTAATAGGAGTAAAGCTGTAAGTAAGAGGCTATTTAAATAAAATGTCCTACAAAGATCGAACACTATTTTATCGAAATTGCTGTTTAGTGTTGTGATGCACATGGTCCTGTGTTGTACTGTGTCCTCCATATGCGCTTTTCTGATCTTTGCTTTTTGAGGAAACCCCAGCAGAGGGAATGCAAGGAAAGGCTTCACCGGGGCGACCTCATGAGCTGCTTGCTGAATACACCTCACCTTGAACTTCTCCTCCATTTCTGAAACCTGTTTCTCCAGCACCCGTTTTTCCTTGAGAGAGGGATGACAGGACGCGGTTAGCAAGGATTTTGGGTTACGGCGGTTTTAAAATTCTTGCCGTTGATCCTGGCTCTGTAGGAGCATAAGCTAAGATAGTGTGGAATTGTAAATCGTATGTTCTGCATGTGATCAGTGGTGTGTGAGTAAGTAATGAGAGAAGGGTCATGCAATGGACACAGATTTGGGTGTAGACGGTCGACCCCTCCTAATATTGTGTATTTAGGAGGGTGGAGGTTTTAGGGCTGGTTTGGTCCCTACCAGTGTCGAAACCAAATCTACGGCGTTAGCTCATGATGATGGGACTGACAGACTAAGATTAATGCAACTGGAGCTTATGGTAAAACACTGGTCAGTCATTTCAAAATGCGTAAAGACTTTGCTGTCAGCCATCTGGTGGGGTCAACTTCAATTCAGCTAAATGAATGTTTGTGGATTATAGATGGAAACCTGCAAAAATGCAGGGAGGGTGTGCAAACACCCCCCACACAGAGCTGGGATTCTGCCCCACAGCCCTGGAAATGGAATACCCATTGTGTGGCGTTACATATTTATTATGAGTACAAGACAAGGTGTACGAATAACATGTGAGTGTTATGGGTGTAGCTGTGACGGTACAAGTACGTTAGCTAACATTAATAATTATCATCTAAATAACAAGTACCTTCTTCTCTGTCTCTAGCACCATTTCAGATATCCTGTCATGTTTCTGAAACAAAAAAACAAAGATATAAACTCTTTAGTTTTCATGTGTAAATCGAACATTAACAGTTACAAACAAGAGGGGACCATTCGACTCATCGAGCTTACTTGGTGGGCATTAAACTAATCATTTGAAGTTGGCAGGATCTTGTCAAGTTCAGATTTGAAGGAATCTAGGATTTACTATCCCTTTGGGCACACGCTGTGAGAAGTTCTTTCTCAGACCCAAAATAAAGTGTTCCCCCGCTAATTTCCGACTATGGCCACGGGTTCTTGAATTAGAACTTACTTTGAAGTAACTATTTGGATGAACAGCATCTTAACCTGTTAGAATCTTGTATACCTGGATCATGTCCCCCCTTAGTCTCCTTTGCTCAAGGCTAAACAAATTCAGCTCGGCCAACCTCTGTTCATAAGACATCCCCCAAAGGCCAGGAATCATTCTTGTAGCCCTGCGTTGTACTTCTTCTAAAGCAGCCACGTTCATGATCTCTTTAAAATTCCTGAAGTGTCTCTATTTGGATTATGCTAACATAACACCCCCTTCTCTGTTTCTCCAGTCATTCCTAATTAGTAGACTGTAGAATGAGTGTTTAAGTTTCCTGCATCCTCTTAATATACACGCATGCTGCTGGATTGTGATATGAAGCAGCAGAAGTAACTGCTGCGATTCCTGTGGGGCTTCACTCAGCTCCAGCACCTGGGTGATTTTGTCCACCTGCGTCTGGATCTTGGTCAGTTCCTGCTTGCTGACTTCCAACCTGGACTTCAGCTTCTTGTTCTCGGCCAGGGCGCCCTCGTACATCTGCAAGGCCCATAGCGATGATGTCAGAGTCAAGGCTACGTTTGCTCCTGCCACAGTAAAGCGAACAGTAGGGCCATTCCGCTCTCAGACCAAATGGGAGACTATCGATATTCCCGTCAGGCAGAAGTAAGTTCTTGTATCAAGAAGTGTTTTGTAGACTGAGGGTATGTCCGAAATCACATACTTCACAGTATGCTTGCTAATTTGTTAGAAGCCTACTACTCAACCGTTAATGTAGTACCCAATGTATGCATGAATGAGAACACTCTGCATGCACTTGGGCATATTGTGACCACCATGATGCATATTGTCCAACCCAGATGTTTACCAATAACGTAGTTAGACCCCCCCATCTCTGGGTGCAGCTCCAGTAGCCTTGTGGGACAGCGTAGCGTCCATCGGTTACACCGTTTTGCAGAATGTAGTCACCCTGGTACTATTTATCTACTGTCTTATCTATACTGAAGATTAAGACATATTACTCACATGCATACTATATTTTGCCTACATAGCAAACAAGTATGCGATACTGGGCACACCCTAAATGTAGAAACAGCTGAGCCAATCAGTGGGAGGCATGGGATGCTAATCCATGGCAGGATTGGGGGCTTGTGCGCCTCTTGATACCTTCTTATAGTTCTGCAGATCAGCCTTGTCCTGCACCCGGCTCAGGTTCACCACTGGGGTCTCCCTCGGGATGGTGTAGGAGGTGGAACGGACCAGCCCTCTGTCTGTGGCACCGTCCTGGGGAGTGGAGCCCAGTCCAGCTGCCACCCTGAGGAAAGGCAGTGTAACTACTACTGACGGTATAGCAGAGCAGGTCTGATGCTTATTACAGTCTATCCTGCTAACTGAAACAACATGCCATGGAATTACATCATCCAGTTTATACTTGAATAAGCACTTTTAGAAGTGCGTATGGTGACTGTGCGTAAGTGTGCATATCCTCATTGCCTGGAATCCTGTCTAGGGTGTGCTCTGCTTTGGGCCCAGTGCTTGACATAAGTGGGTTAGGCTCCAAGGTCAGTCTAAAGCGATACGAAATGAGTAATCATGGATGATGGATGGATTACTGCTTATCCAAGTAAATCTGTGAGGATCTTGAGTATGTCTCAGAGGGCAGAACCTCTGTAGCAAATTACATCCCAGAAGGTGTCCAGCAAAGGTGGCTTGCAAACACACACTGGAGGTCAAAATAAAGTGGGACTGAAAAAAGAGAACTAACAAAGAAAGAGATTAACAAAGAATGCAAGAAACTAGTGATGTTTAGAGGAAAATTTTAAAAGTCACTCACCTAGATGTCCTTTCCTGTTGTAAAAAAAAGAGAAATGAAATGTCAGAAATGCAACATTGATGGCACTTCAGCTAATTTGAGACTTATATAAATATGCAAAAAGTGTTTATGGTCAAAATGATTTTCCACAGAGGAAATGGTTTTATGTGACAGGCGGAATCGCATCCAGATGTCACATGTCCTTTTGTATACATCATTGAGCCTGTGATATACTTCTCCCTGGCCTGATCCTGACAGTACTCACGCTAGCTCAAGCTTTTCAATAAGGCCTGTTAATATTTCATGGACTGTTTAGTACTTAGAAGCCTGCCGTGAGGAGAAGCAGCCGATGACATCATGTCGCCGAAAGGCCCCGCTTTCGTTAGAGTCTGACGTTCCAGCATTCGTCTGCTGCTTGACAAGCTCCAAGCGATGACCTCAGAGCCTGCATGACAGATAGCCGAACTGGTCTGGGAACAGAGTGAGCAGATCCTGACCTGATTTCTTCTCCCACATGTCTTTTCTGGAGCTTGTTGAGATGTGCAGTCAGTTCTGCAGGCCCCCACCTCGTTTGACCGACCTGCATTGTGCCCCCCGCCCCCCAGCTTCAGTCCAAACTTGATGACTCATTCTGCTAACTGCCACAACAATAAAGACATTTGGACAAGGGATTTTTTTGTTTTTTGGGAAGCACGTGAATCCTGTTCTTAGGTGTGTAGGCAGGATGGGCTTCTGTACCACTGTGACTGAGAGGGAGGGGGAGAGAACGAGAGAGAGAGAGCGAGAGAGAGAGAGAGAGAGAGCGCCACATTCACTCATCTCAGTCACACCGCTACTAAGACAGCACACAGACACCACTCAGACTAATGTATATCTAAACTGTCTGCTAGTAGCATGAACAAATTGATTCTTACTTCATAACACCTATAGTACAACCACATATACTTTGATTACATGTCGCATCTATTCTGTTTCTTGTGTGTTTGGTTTCTAATAGTAACGGATAAGAAATGACTCCAAGGCTATTGTGATTTCCCTTCATATTTCACACACTGAATCCCACGTGTGACCTATGGCATATAAGAATGTAGGTAACGTAGACATATTTTTCCATTTCAGCTTCTCGAAGCTGACCTCGGCTCAGAGCCAGGACGTTGAATCATACATGCTAATCTCCAGTTGCAACAGAACCTGAGATTACCATAGTTTTTTTTACTTGGAAACTCTTTGACACAAATGCCGGGCACACAAGTATGCGTTCTGTTCCAGCTCTTGGTCTGAGACATTGTAAAAGGTGACTATCTACACCCAGAAAAGGTCCCACACAAAACCATTGACTTGGGACGAGTCTGCAAATCAGAGCAAATCTAACACTTGCCTCCAAACCTCGTGTTTCTTTGCATTCCAGGAGATTGGGATCTGATCCTCACCTCAGCGTGGGAGAATGTAATAAACATTCCCGTTGTGGAGCACATGGCATGGGGCTACATTCTGAGGCGAAACCTAAGCCTATTCCAGTCAAGTAGAACAACTTCAGCGGAGCCCCCAAAGGAAGCTAAAAGTGGCCACACAGAATAGAGTGCAGACCTTGGCCAGGGGCTGAAACGTAGCTCACGCTCACCTGTAGGTGTTCTGCATCTCAGAAGTGTACCGTTATCCATCATGGAAATTCATGGCGAGATGCACAGAGTGGAAATTTATTGACTGAGATTTTAGGCAAATTGATTAGGGCCAAAAATTTAAGGTAAAGGTCCTTTTTCTAAGTATGACAAACAAATGAAAATAAAATGTATTGCACTTCCTGGGAATTCATGCTATAATAATCTTCCATTTGTCAGCTTAGTCACTGGGCATGACATAAATTGTTCATTAAGCCACTTGACGAAGATAATTGTGTTGCATTGTGGGTAATTATGACCAGTTCGGTAATATCAAGTGACATTTTAAAAGTTTGCTGCCTAGGATGTAGTTCGTAGAGTCTGCTCATTGATGGAGGTCCTACTGCACCCCTTATTGACTCTGCACACTGTCATGGACCGTACACAGAGCACCGATCTGCCCCTGTCACTAGGCCCAAGGGGTGGCTGTGTCAGAGATGGTGCCGGCTGCCGGCTCACAGGGACCCGCCAGTATCTCATTTAGCAGGAATCGCCAAGCCTGCCTTTGCCTAGCTCAGGCGCTTCTATGAGTTAAGCTCAGGATGGGCTTTGTGAATAGCCCTAGCGGCTTGCCAGAGACAAGGATTGGCTGCTGGCAGCACACTTGATCTCCTGAGCCGAGACCAGCCCACTGGGCGGCAAGAGAGCTCTAGGCAGTGAACTACCACAGTGATGTCCAGCTGTGCACCAGAGGGATTCACATGGTTCCAGAAGGTTCAGATGGGCCACACCTGTAGACCTGCCTCAGCTCCAGTCCTATGTTAATATTTACACGCTGACATCATGCATTATTGTTCCAGGTTCTTTTTCTCTCTACCACTCCAGAATACTGGAGTGCTGGAAGCAAACAGCAGGAACTTCTCACTCAAGTTCCACAGGTGGACCTGCTGCTAATTATATCCATAATTTCCACAGTAACTCACACCCCCATCAATCATATGTGGGTGGTCAGTCCATCTTACATACATTAACACATTAAGTTCTTCTTGTGAAGCCTTGGATTACAGTGTTATATATCCTTTCTCTCTATTCACCATCTCCGTATTACTCACACACCTCCTTGTCTTCCATTGCCCACTTGTCTTTCTTCCACGTCTTGTTCTCCGTTCATGCCTCCAGCTTTTATTCACCCACCTCCCTTCCTTCCTTTATTATCTCTTCTCCTGCTCTCGGCCCTTCGGTGAAACAAGGGCCTCCTTTAACCAGAACCCCTGCACGCAGGGTCACTGGCCACCCGGAATCTTACATCCAGACACTTTTCTCCAGGGGCAATGAGGGGGGCTTCTATTCAAGCTATCAAAGGAGCGGACGATGGCACAGAGTGCCCTGCAGCCTTTCTGCGAGCCTTTCAGCAGCAGTCTGACGTCTTAGGTCAGAGTGGGTACTTAATCTGAACTGCTTTTATATCCTGCTGTCACCTGTTGTCGGCTGCAGGCCTCAGGTTTGCAGCAATACGATTCTATTCTATTCTATTCTATTCTATTCTATTCTATTCTAGAATATATGCATTCCTACAGAAACTAGTAAAACTGAAAACTAACTCTGTAGCATAACTCTCCAGTAGCTACAGCCAAGAGGGGCCTCCTGAACATGATAATATCTTCTCTTGTTTACTTATCTGCATTTTCTCATGCCATAACCATTGTAGTGGAACAAAACGCAGAAGGAAAGAGGAAGAATAGATCTTGGATGTGGTTCTAGTGTCACCCTAGAGACCAGAGCACGCAATGTAACTTGTCCCTTAAGGCCTTGCGTCGGTTAATACCCATGTGCTTCTCATCCTGCTTTTTGTGCTTGGCAAAGGTATCACAAGGACTGCAGAGTTTAAATGCGGCCGATGGCACCGCAGGCCCAGGTCACCGTAACAGCGGACAGAATGACGCGCCAGGGCTTACGTCAATATCACAGCCCACACAGAGGTCCGGTCCTGAGACAGAAGCTGCGGCTCGCATGCCATCTTAAACATTCAGCGCCTTCGTGTGACATCGTGGGGGGATCTCGTGAACACTCCCCCGCACATCCCCTGTCGGGCATTAAGTCCCTAAGCTCCCCTTGCCCTGCACAGTCTGACTGTACGGTGATAAAATGCAAAACTTCACACTAAAGTTCGCACTCTGAATTGGGTCCATGACTCCTCGTCATTTCTGCCAGCTCTCACCGATGGAAAATATGAGCCTCCCTCCGCCCCCAGTACGGCCAAGAATAAACATCAGCGCTACGGCAGACTTCCCATCCACCAACAGCAGGACTGTCCGCTCAGCCCTTCTCCTCTTGATGGGACGGTCTAGCACTGCAGTTTGAGTAAACAGCTCAGATTAGCTTCCTGTTATCTCTTTTCAGCTTCCTAGGGAAACAATCTTGTGTTCCCAGGACAAGACAAAACAGCACCAGTCACTAACCGGCTGTTCAGAAAGTCACTCCAGCCCCTGGAGGTAAACAGATATTTTCTGGTGCATTGCTTTGGTTGGTGTGTCACTGTGGATGCTTGTTTTTTTCTTTTTCCCCCTTTTGACTGGGATACTATCAACCAGGCTAATATATGGAAGGATATAAATGCTTCAGCTGCATGCTAAAGTTTAAACAAAGAAGTAAAATCACAGGAAGGCCACCGTGAAAACCTTGGTGTTTTTGTCCAGATGACGATGTGTTGTATGAATATAATACTCTTATGGTCACTCTATAAAAATGCAGAAAGTCAATACATTTTTTCTAGATTTGTTTTCTAATAGGATATATAATAAAATATATATTCTTCAATTTTCCCAAAGAAAAGGTGAAAAACAGTTCATAGAATATTCATAAAAGACTGTGCTGTTGTTTTTCTTTTGATTGTATGAATTATTAGTGCTAATTTTCAGTGTTTTTCTGCACAAGTGTGATCCTTCATTGCTGAATTTTTTTTTATTTCCAATGATTTCCCATAATTCAGTGTTCCCTGAATGGCAAAATACACCTGCACTGAAAAAAATTACTGACAATCCTGACACAAAACAGTGTGGCTTGACTTGGTGTGTAGCTAGAAATTCTGGGCCCTCTAACAATATGTCACCTTGGGTCCCTCCATCCAATTTTATGTATAATCTTATATATTAAGGTGTCTATCAAGCACTGGGCTCCCTTAATCTGCTGGGGTGGAGGTCTCCTGTCTGAGCCTTTTCAGTTAGCCACAACTCAAATAAATCTGTGTATAAATCCACTGGCGTACTGACTACTGGGTGATTTAACAAAGAGAGGCTTGAGATGACCATAGAGACATTTGTAGCTGCATGAAACTTTTTCAGATATTCATCCTACTTGTGAAGTTGCATCTTACAACCTTCAGCACACTAATTCTATACAGACTTATTTCCTAAGTGTCCTGAAGAGGCTTCACCTCCCTATTAAACATCCACAGACGTCACACAACAGAGAAAATATAACTGTGATGCAACGAATCATCGGGATTCCGCTGCGGCCCAGCAACTGCCAATCAGCACCACGCTGTCAGTCAGTTACAGGCCCAAGGCAGACTAGCTGCAATAGCTTTTGCTGACCTCATCGATAGACTGTCCCAATGATCTGCAGGACCCGTGACCATCCCTTTGGAGAAAGCAGTGCTTGCCTTTGAACTGGGAAGCACAGTCCCTTCATCCCCACAACATATTCCCTATATTCCCTAAATGAATCTCACCCCCCCCCCCCCAGGGGTATTTGCCTGCACTGACATCGCCAGTGCCAACTTGCCTAACACAATAACATAAAGTTAATTTGGTACAAAAATGTAGTTACAATGTAGCTACGTCTAATGTAGTTATTTTCTGCCTGGCTGAAAGATCATGTATTTATGGATGCATATTATCAGGATTTCTGACCAGCAGCTCAGAAAGATAGAGGACAAATTTTTATGAAGTCAGAATTGCTCTCATCTCCTTCCACACTCATTTTACAGAGGATATTGTTGAATTCAAGCCAAACGCCAGCCTCTCACAGCAGAATACAATGCCAAGAACAAACATGACCAGCACACTTGTATAATAATAATCCATCTGTCTTCCATAACTGCTTATCCTTCACAGGATCCTGTAGGGTCTGCATGGTCTTTTTGGAAACAAGGCACAAACCAGGGCTTGCACCTTGACAGGATGACGGCTGATCATGAATATACAAGCAGACGTCTAAGAAATTCACATCAGGTTGCTTAACACGTTGCTGAAACTTTCAGCTTTCTGTCATTAACAAATGGGATCAGAGAATTTCTAGTGATTTCTGCAGCGACACTCAGGGAACCATCATGCAGAAGAAATCATCTCAGGCCAACCTTGACATTTCCATCAAAAATGGGTAAAATCCTCTCTGGTGTATCAACCACTTTGCTTATAAGCAACACGCATCATCACGTGCTTCAAGATGAACTTGTCCTAGCACTGTCCTTCCGACATAAAAGCACTCTGAGGATGCGTGCAGGGCTGCCCAAGGTGTTTATCTGCGGGCATCCCAATAAGCCCGATGGCCCAAAAATGGCTGACACATTGAAAATCCCCCCCATCCCCTGTTAAGGTGGATGCAGCTGTGTCATTGATTGTTGCGATCGGTGAAACATGACTTTTAGCCCAGACCTTTCAGATAATCACTAAGGCCAATCACTGGGGATTTACACAAGCAATCAGCTGCTCAGAGATAAGGCACAGTGTAAACATTTGGCCTCACTGTTGCCCGGTGATCACACCCCTCAGAGGATAAGCCTGAGCATGCACCCGTCCAACCCCGCGATGTTACTCTCATGACACCATATGATAAGCCAAGGAAATTTGCATGATGCCCTGGGCAAATTGGATTTTTAAATTGGGAGGGGGGGCTGTTGTAATGATTATTTGGTTGTACTATGTCCTCCTCCCCACCTGCACATCACCTTTTTCACTGCCATTTCAAACATCCTCAGCTGCTTCTTGCTCAGTGCCTTGCAGGCTGAAATACGTTTTGACCACATTTGGTCCATATATATATTAGCAATGATACATCAATCCATTTCATCCATCTTCCATAACTGCTTATCCAGTGCATGGTCACAATGACACATAAAAGACACAAATGTGAGGACAAGATTGTAAATTCTAGATTCTAAACTGAAACTCTAAGACCAAGACTTTTCTGAGACTCTAAGACCTAAGCTCTAAACTTAGACTCTGAGACCTAGACTCTTTAACTTTAAACTGAGACACTAAGACCAACACTCTAGATGGAGCCTTACAGCTGTACATCTTAGGAAGCTGCTCTTTCATGAATATAAATGGATATACTGTATATTGTGCAAAAAAAGTCAGCCAACTGCTAAGTATTAAGCATAAAGTTTCAAACAACTGAATGCTGATAAACTGAAGTATGACTGCAGTGTTCTGTGTAATGTTAACTTTAACTTTTTATATGATTAGTTACAAAGTTATGTGTGATGTTATATAACCAAATCACATTTTACACTTTTACACTGAACACTGTCAGGTAATTAAGGCATACGGGGTATGATGATTGGCATCCATTCCCACATAAAAACCTTCTCCATGTTACACAAGAACGCAAAGTTGACGAGCACAGAGCGTCAGACTCCTGCTGAGTCTGTTCGTCTGGGTAAGCACACGGGCGAGAGGGCATCTCTTACACTGAGGCTCCGGGTTGTCAGCGAGCGGCTGGACAGCGGCAGGTCCGACGGCGACCTCCTGGTGTAAAACAGATCCTTGCTGCGGGTGTACAGGGACGACATGGCGCAGAGCAGCGGGTCAGCCGGCGGCCCCCACCAGCGCAGGGAGGAGTGCTGGACACACGCGGCAGCTAAACGCACGGATTATGTCACACGCCGCGCCATCCTTCACGTGCTCATCCCCGCCATTCTCCAAGGTCCAACGGGAGGCCACCACACTGCTACCAAGGACAGCAGGGGTTGCAGAAAAGGAAGGGGGGCAGGTGGAGTTAAGGCAGACTCCTCAACCTGGAAGAGGGATCCCGGACCCACCTCCCTCACAAAAACACTGCTATATTCTGCTCCTAAAACTAAAATATTAAAACAATCAAACCTGCTCTTTTTCTGTGCCTCTCCCTCTCTCAGTTTTGTGATTCTGTCCTGCACACACAGTCAAGCACCTCCCACATGAACAATCAAGCCTCCCTCTCTCTCTCTCCCTCTCTCTCTCTCTCTGTCAGTCTCTCCCTTTGAGGCTGTCTAGGAGGCAAAACCACCAGGTGGTTATGACAGACTGCCTGCCACTTGCACCCCACCCTGCATAATGCCCCACCCTGCTTGCACAGTGCTCTCAGACTGCACAGAGAAGTACACACTTCCTCTGCGGTACCAGGTTCTTCGAACACTGTTTCAGTCTCAAGTGCCTCACAGAGTCGCTGAGACTCTTCCAGCGCTGGGGTTTCAAATCCCACCTCTTTCTCCACATGTGGATGACTGCGTGCAACTGTGCCCTGTGAGGCTGTGCCTGTGATCAGGAGGTTAGTGGTTCAAATCCCCAGGTTGGCAGAGTGATGTCACTGTCGGGCCCTTGAGCAAGGCTCCTAACCCCTCTAGGGACTGTCTGACCCTGTTTTCTCATTTGTATACGGCTTTTGGGTAAAAGTCAGTGCTAAATAAACAAAATGTTACAAGTTCTGTGTGGGTTTCTTCTGGGTTCCTCCCACTATCCAAAAAGGTGAATTGGTGTCTCTAATTTGTCCATAATGTGTACATGTGAGCCATGTGATTGGCTAACATGCTATCTTGGGTATCTATAATGTGTAAGTATGAGCCCTGTGATTGGTTAACATGCTGTCTTGGGTATCCCTAATGTGTAAGTATGAGCCCTGTGATTGGCTAACATGCAATCTTGGGTATCCCTAATGTGTATGTATGAGCCCTGTGATTGGTTAACATGCTATCTTGGGTATCCATAATGTGTACTGTAAGTGTGAGCCATGTGATTGGCTAACATGCTATCTGGGGTCTCCATAATGTGTACTGTAAGTGAGTGTGAGCCATGTGATTGGCTAACATGCTATCTTGGGTAAATGTTTATTTACATCTTGGTCAAACTCGAGCCTCAAGAGACCTGCATTTTGGGAATACCGGAGAATGTATGAAAATGTTCATTAGTTATCAAGCAGGAAAGCTGTATGGGTCGCTTTAAATGGATTTCTCCTCACAGCAACTATTGAGTCAATGCTGACTTTGTTGTTTCATGGGAAGATTTATGTTAGGATTTATGTGGGACCCGTTTTTAAGTGTGGAGCCAGAAAACCACCCACCCTGAATTCCTTTACCCCACAGGTGAAAGGTCAGACACTGGCCACTTCGACAACCTGCCAGTTGTCTGATTCTGGTTGATAATGAAATTCTTTGAAGTGTTTTCCCCTGAGTTTCATCAGTAAGAAACCTAGAGCGCAACTATTCATAACAATCAATAAACAAAGTCCTTTATGTATATGGTTGGCTTGTATATTCAATTTAATATGTTATTAACCATTAATTAAATTCTGTGGGGTGTTTAATATCATCCTATATTTTGTAATGCTTACTCTAAAAGGCATTTGCCTTGGTCACATGTTGCTAAGTTAATCATTTAAAAATCCCCCAGAACCCCTATAAACTGATCACAGTGGTTCACTTGCACTCCTTCTCCTCTCAGAAGCCCATTGGCTGGCTGCTTGCTGCCTTCGACCTACCAGGGTGTCTAGCCTGATGCAACACTTGGTTTTCACACAACAAACTGGCTCACTGGTTTGCCTGAAATCCTGATGTTGTAATTAGCAGAGAGAATAGCAGTAGTGTAACTGAAGATCGCAGCTCAATCTGTAATTTACATTACAAAATTTATTACCACTTGTAAGCGCCATTTATGCAGAATGGTGTAGTTTTTGTTTAATTAAATGGTTGGAATATGTTGTTTTAAACCTGCCATTATAAGTTGAAATTTATGTAGCATATTATACATGAAAGTGCTTCTCCGGTTAGTTTTGGTTTGCAACTGCCGGAAGGAGTATGTGTCAGAGGAGCAATAAAGTTTTTGTTTTGAATATGAAAATAAAGAAGTGGACGTTGGGAGCCACACGGTTGTTTTACCGTGACTGGTAACCTACCATTTTAACGCGTAAAAACAGTCTACGAATGTTCATTTCACAGAAGTGGTCAAATTTTTAGATTGTGCCAAAAAGAATAACGTTCCCAAACGAAGTCGACCACTACACCACTATTTTTCATTTGTCAAAAAACAGACAGATCAAAGTCAAAGTCAGCTTTATTGTCAATTCCTTCTCATGCACTGGACGTGCAAAGGGATCGAAATTGCGTTTCTCACTGTCCCATGCGCAGGCAAGACACAAGACATGACAGGATAGGACAAACAGTGAAGTGCACAAGCACAACAAAAACACATCTTAAGTACTGAGTAACAGTATATAAAGTATATAAAATCTGTCATGTCAGATATCTGTCATGTGATGTTTCTTCATAGAGTTTGGGAATTATAGTCAGCATGAAGTGATTGTGACAAGGGATGTGATAACATGGTTTGAGCATTTTAATTGTGTATTCAAAACCTGAATATTCCACCACAAAATAAAGCTGCAAATCTATAAGCACTCCCTAAACTCCAGTTACTGCTCTGTGTCTGTCTGAGCTTGCGTTGACTAACTGTTTTAAAACTGCAGAGTGAGTTTCCTCTCGCCAGTTCGCCTCTGGCGTAGCTGCAAGCGGTTTGTGTGGGTGATGTCGGAGTAAACAGCTAAGCATATTTGATCTGTTACAGCTCGTATAAAACACACGTGTCAAGCAGTACTTGCATATTTTTGAAGTTCTGTTAACAGCTTTTGTCCTTTCGTGACTGTAGGTTATTTTAAATCCACACACTGTCCGCACATTGCCAAAGGTTAAGTCTGGCTAATCTGAAGCATACTGACAGTTGACTTTAACAGTTGATTGGATGGCTAGTGTCGGCCTATTGGAAATCAGTGTGGGTGACACAGATTATTCTCCAAAGACTTAGTGTGTTGTCAACTGGTGTTTTTTTTACAGTAATCATTACAGAATATAGAAAGGAAAAAAAAAATCTGTTTTTGGATGAGCTAAAAGTGATACTTAGTAGTTAATATTTACGCATCCCGTTTCATCCACAAACAAAGGCTTGTAACAGGACTTAACATTTTAAAGCTGAAACGTTGCTGTTTTGTTTTCAGGTCTTCATGGATCCAAAACCTTAATATATATGTAACAAAACACTTTTATTTTGTGTCATTATCTTAATATTTGGGTTCTGTTCATCTGTGACTAAATATGCAAAGTCTTCACTCCACACCTTCACTAAATGGAAATACCCATCTATCCATCATTCATAGGCGCTAATCCAGGAATACTCGCAGTGAGCGTATGATTAGCAGCACTGAGTAAGACGCCCTGGGCCAGACACACTCTGAGTAAGGTGGAGACCCCCAGTTCACAGAACTCCATGTTTTTGCCTGTGGGATGAAAGGCACTGAAGCAGAAGGAATTAAAGTTCATACAATACATTCAGTCCAAAACTAGTTTAGATTATATATATATATATATATATATATATATATATATATATATATATATATATATATATAGACAGTACAGATAAATAGCTATTGACTAACCCAGTAAAGTGAACAGAATATCGAATATTAATTTATAATGTGAACCAGCAAACACTACCATTATAAGAAACCAATCCCTTCTCAAAAATTTCATTCATCATTTACAAGATCTTGTTGCACCATCTAGTGGTATAAAAATGAATTATAATTAATAACCTGAACACTGACAGAGAGAATGCCTTTTATTGTCATTGTATGGGTTGAATACAATTCTATCTCGACATTTGCCATCTTGCTCACTTACTGTATGAGACATGTGGGGGGAGAAGCTTGGGCTCAGATGCTGATATGCAAATTCACCACCCAGAATACTGCAAAAAGAAAATAAACAAATAATGATGTTTTACACATGCCTTTCAAAAATACATTTGCTTCTTATGCACTGTAATGGAATACATTACTGAATACATTTATGGCAATGTATTCAGTATTCAGTCATAAATACCATGCACTATGCTCACTAGGTTCTTTGTAGCAGGGGTCACCAATATGGTGCCCGTGGGCACCAGGATGCCCCCAAGGACCACAAGAGTTGCCCGTGGACCTGTTCTAAATATAGCACAACTCACCAGTGAGCAGCGTCTAAAATTTAATTTTATCCTGTTGCCATTCTTCTTTAATCACATTTGCATTTAAATAGATTTGAAAATGACAATATCTTAAAAAAGCATTTAAAACATGTTTATTATACATGAAGTTTAGATAAGTTTAGGAGGGAGTTTCAAACTGGTAGCCCTTCGTATGGCTCAGTACCTGTGAAGTAGCTCTGTTTCAAAAAGGTTGGTCACCCCTGCTCTGTAGTCATAAATCCATCTTGCCAGTGGCAATCCTTTTCCCTCAGTCCCTAGTGTACTAACCTCTTCCCAGGGACACTGTGTAGCTCTATGGGTTGAGTGAATGGCTCAGAAGCGAACACCCCTCTAGCTGTTGGTTTGAAGCAGGCCTGACGCGTGTATTACGTTTTGTTTTATCTTTAGTGTTTGAAATTGTTTATCTCTCTCTTTGCCTTTTCTCCGTGTTTTTGGCTTATCCTGCCTGTGTCTGGTTTAATTCTGTTCTGCTTGTACTTATGTCGCTAGTCTTTCCTGGTGGTAGCCCTAAGTGTTTGTCAATGTTTCCTAGTTTCTTGTGTGTGTTAATTGTAACTCATTCCACCTATTTCTTGTTGGCCCGAGCCTGTCCTGATAGGTTGATTTGATTATAGTCCGCACCTACCCCTTGATAGCCTTATTGTCTGTATGCATTTAAGTGCCTGCCCTTAATTTTGCCCCTAACTTTGGTTAGTCATTGTGTTCGATGTTTGAGCTGTTTTGATGTTACTTTGTGCTTGTAGCTTTAGAGGATCCCTAGTCCTGGGGGGTATTTTTCGTACGTGGATTACTTGTTTAGCCAGATGTAATTATTGACAATTTGGCATAATCCTGGATCTGTCTGTTTTTCGAAACTCTTGCTGGATGTGTTGTCATAGCAGCACATCCAAATCCTCAAACTTGCTCGGAGCAGGTTTGTTCTACGTAAACAAGGATTAGCTCGCACACGTAATCAGTGTCCATGCGTTGAAGTCATGGCCTCGCCATTCATGAATGAGCGACCAATTTATATCGGTTGCCAAATTATAAGAAGATAATTTCATACAGAGAGGGTTTTGCGCGATCGGCAAGATCCTTTATTGCTCCCAGACGAAATTCTTTTCTAAAGATATCACTTTAGCCGAGGAGGAATTTTGTACCCCAAAGATTTATTAGCAGCTTATATTCAAAGTCAAACAAGGTGAAGTGTATATATGTGTATATTTACAGGTATGTGTGTGTATGTATGTATGTGTGTGTATGTATGTATGTATGTATATATATATATATATATATAATTTTTTTAATGTCAATTCCTTAGTGATATACCAATATTTACCAGTTTGAAGTATATTCTTGTACTTCACTTTAACCTGTTCCCATGTTATCATTGTGCTTATGTTTGATCTGGAATTATGACATACAGTACAATCCCTTAATAGTGGACTTGCATATAACGGAATTTTGCTAATAACGGACAAACAATTTGGTCCACAGGGCTGCTTTTAGCTGTAGTTTTGTTCGGCTTCAACGGACATGCAGCTCCGCCTACAAGGTGCCCGGCGTGCTGGTAATATCCAGCGCAGATACGTAGTCGGGATTATTAATAGTCACGCATCTGCTAAAGGTAAAGTTGGATTATTACATGTACAAAATAATAATCTATACCAGAAGTGTGTCTGCTGGGGTGTGGCATGAGTAAATGGTGTCCTGTAGTTGTGTTCTGGATATACAGCAACTCTGGATATATCGGACTGTTTTGCCAGGTCCCTTGAAGTCCTTTATAACTGGATTTTACTGTATTAAATATTAATTAATCTGACACATAGGAAATGAAATGCTGCATTCAGTAAGTACATTGAACACTACTTCCGCGTTTAATTTGTCGGCCACTTTTTGCCCGCCGTCTTTTCGGCTTTGGGCTGCTTTTGCCGTGTTACCACTTGTGCATATTAGTTCTTGAAATTCTTCATATACTTCTAATACGAGGTCCTGCTCCGCTTCTGTGAAAAAAATATGCCCTTTCTTTCGTGATTTTGTTGCAGCCTATTAATGATTTGCCGATCATGTTTTCTAGACTCGATATATATGGGCTTTTCGAGCAGCGCAGGCGCGCGCAATCATCTCGGATGAATGGATCCAGCTAGACTAATCTACTACACAGCTGCCTTTGAAAAACCAACTTATCCCAGATGAGTCTCACTGGCATTAACTCATCCAAGATGAGGCATCTGATCTTGGATGATTTAAGCGACATACGGAAAATACCACCCTGCTCTCTGTGGTCTGTTCCCTAGTATGTTTATTTTTATGGTTTTTTTAGTTCTTCTTTCTTCCATTTAACTTTTGACCTGTTATAGCCCCTACATTTTGTGGTTTATCCCTTGGTATTCAGCTCTTGCCAATAAACCCCTTTTTCTTCCAAGCCATCGTCACACAAGGATCGTCACACTTTTTCTGCCCGCACCATGTCCCGCAATGTCTCAAACCTCTCCTCTGATGCAATCTGACACACAGACATCAAATTTACAAAAGCTGCTCTTTCACGTTGGGTTGTTTGCTGTTAAGAGAAACATTTCCATGTTTTTTAGTACACTCTACTTGGTAAAGGTGAAGTTTGGACCGAAACCCATTTACTTTGTCTGTTGTCAGCAGATTTTTATTCTCTCCCTGTATTTCAGCATTTAGCTCATTCATATGACCAGTTATTATAAACTGAGCAATTTAGACAGACTGAACTATTTTGCATATAATTGGATTGTTGGGGAGAAACAGGAGGGAAGCATACAGACTCCAAATGCAGGGCTAGAAGTAGGAATTGAAAGCCACATCCCGGAGGGTATAAGGACACTGTAGCTGCCATAGTAATAATAGTGATATACTGGCAGTAATGGTTTATAGTGTGATACTTTGAAATAACCCTTTAAGCATGTACTCATATGCTGGAACATATAAAATGTAAATGGCATTTTCGGACCTGTATAGTATAACCAGAAATTTTTGGTGACAATAATAGTGCATCCAAACACTGCTATTACTTATGCTTGTTGCTAAGATCTATACAATGACAGCTGTGAGATTCTAATACTTCCCATAATAATGAAAAGGTGGTTGGCTTATTTTTGTCTTATACTGTATTCTGAAACCCAGCCAGGCTGCAGTGTTGTACACAAAACAGAAAGGGTCCAATCAATTTGAGGTCCAATCGAAAACATTAAAATGAATCATTATTTGAATTTATTGAATAACATCTTATGCATTGTAGACAATCTATGCATTTATTACACTGTTTCCACACTGTTTCCTCCATGTGCATCACACAGCTGTAGCAAGACCCACTCGATTGTTGCCCCTATCAAAGATGGTGTAGAACTCTCTGATGAAGACGTCACCCAGGATCCAGAGCTGGCCAAAGCCACCGGTACTAATGCGAAGCATGCATCCACTGCTGTACTATAATGGAAAAGTAAAAGAAACATTAACAATTCAAAGGATGGTTGACTAAGTTAATGATTATGGCTTGTAGTCATGAGTATTATGAAAGGGAGAGACAAGGCAGCAATGGAGAAGTTTATTCTCTAGTGGTAAGTAACATGTCATTGTTGGAATGATATAACAGAAAGAAAGATAATCAGAAGAAGGGTAGCAGGAAATAGATGAAGAGTAAATGTTTGCTATGTATACTTTTCTGATCTCTGTTTCATATGTTTATTCTTAAAGAGTTAAGAGTTGAATCTCATGATTCAATCTCATCTCAAAGATTTCTGTCTGCAACCCTGTGAATTATATAATCTGGCCTTGTCCTTATTAGAGTTATTGATACTGGGGGTATAAATAATATTATAAAACTACTGCCATGAAATCTTCCATTGGGATCTAATAGAGTGAAGCTTAATCCTGGTTGTGCAAATCATACCTGAGAAACATATGCAGAGGGAGGGATGCTGAAGGCATGTCCGCCGAGGGTAAAGGTCAGGTCAGGCATGGATCCCACGCTGTTGCAGTTCACGAATGCCTACGGGACACAGTCCTTCATCTTATTTTTTGCTCATGCAGCATTATTTGAATGTCAAAGTAGAGCAGGCTGAGCCTCTTACATCTCCATTTTGGTCCACAGAAGCCTTCAAAGATCTCAGGAGGTTTTGAATGTCACTGCTTGGTCCAACAATGTAGGAGGTGCCGGTATCCACCATAGCTTGGCAGCCACCAGAGCAAGCAACAGCTTTTTTATTGATAGACACGCTGCAATGGACAAAAGATCAGTTGACCACAGATTAACAAATAGTGGTCAAATTTGTCCCTTATGC